TTCAGTGAACTTATTCTCTAACAAGCACTCACATATATGTACTTGCGTCCCACGCAAATGTTGATGGAATGCAAAGCATACATACTATGTGCAATTCTTTTATGGATTATTCGATATCCCATCTCGAAACATCCATCGAATTGGAACTTTATTTAAGATCACTGCTTTCAAGGTATGTTCCATGATCACCATCTCTATGCGCAACCATACCTTATAACATATGTGATCTAGGGATTTTATCTTAAGTGCAATTATATGATAAATGCTTACTCTTAAGATAAAGTAATGCCTTTTAATTAATATAATTCCAATAGATTGTATTTACAAGTAGAATACGTCCAATCAGATTGGAACGCCGGGTATACTACTCTAACATCTTGGACATCTGATGGACATGCATTTAATGCTGCCTGTCGGTACCGACGTCAACCCACGTTTGAGTTGCCTTTACTGGGGAGGTCGGCCTCCTGAAGAGGTCGGTTTCTGAGGTCGGTTTCCACAACTCGGGGAGCTTTCTCTTTTCTCTCTTCGGCGTGACTCCTGATCTTTCCCATAATCCAAGTGTCGTTCATCCGACGTACGAGGAGATTCTTATGCCAACATTGAGGCCCCTGACATTGAGGGGGACATGTGCTTTGGTCCGCCTTAATGTCACTTTCTATTCCTTGTCGATATCTCCTGCTATGAGGCTTCAACCGACTTCTCACCCTTCGTCGAAAATCCTTCCATCTTTTATGAGAAGCTCGCAGTTTTCTTGATACGGCGCGTGGTATCATGGAACGATGCGCTCGTTTCATTTTGTTTCGAGCGGTTACGTCTCTTCACTACACGTTCCCACGATCTCTGAAGAGATTCTTACGTGGCAAGCCCTTATTCGTCCGCGTGTAATTGTAGGGGCAGCGCGGAACGTCCTTATCTTAAATGGTGACGGTTTACGGGCATCAGTTTCTCCATAACGGTCATATTGCTCGAATATAAATACTCCATCTTCTTCAATCCTCTAAATTACATTGTCTCTTCACCCCAAATTCCGTTTTATTTTCTTTACTTTCTTCGCCCTTTGCTCTTTCGGTTTTTAACTCCCGACGTCCTTGGCCCAGTCGTTCTTGTGTGGTGAGTTCTTCTGTCTATCCTTATTTTTCGTTCCTTGCGATTTCTCTTTTTACTTTTTTTGAAGCTCCGTCCATCACCCAAACCATGG